CGATCGCCGCTCGGCAATAGCCCATTCTATGCATGATTGGATGACGTTGCCTTGGAGTTCGAGTGTGTTGGGGATTTCGCTAATCAGGTCCAGAAGTTGGCGGACTAAACAATAATCAGAGTTAGCCGGTTTCTATAAATGTGGTTTAGCGCACAACTTACCCAGCTTGGCCGTCTTCGCTTTGGCAAATGACGAGAAGGTGTCACGGCTGGTCTTGATGAGGTCCGCGATCTCCTGTGGCTTCTTCGCATCCCGATGCAACTCGCTCAACCCAATCAAGGCATGCTCATAGTCTCGTGAGGAGGCCTCTGTAGATCCGGGGCCCTCTGATAGGATCTTCTGGTAACTGGTCGCTGCTTTCGAGGGATCCTCCTTCACCAGATCTCGGACTTCTTGGATCCGTGGCGAGACCTTGGATGACATGATAAGAGACGGTAAATGGCAAGCGAGCGAGATGGGGAATTAAAGAAAAGGAGAACAATAGAAGATGGTGGTTTGAAGAGAGGTTGATGACCAGGTCGAATGGGGAGCTCGAAGCTGGCGGCAGCTCATCGTCCTCTCACCGCCCGCTTGGCAAATCAAACAGAAAAAAAGTTCCATCTTGGCATTTTTCTTTTCCTCTCTACATCGTTTTCACAACAGCACCATGGTGAGTGTTTTTCCTTGAAATTTTGTTTCTTGGATAGCCATGCTAATGAATTATAGAAAATCAAAGCACTTTCCCGCTCCACGGCGTCGCAGCAGGCCCCCGGGTCCGCTGTCGTTCGCCAGTCGCGGAATCTCGACCCGACTCAGCATCCCTTTGAGCGGGCTCGTGAATACACTCGAGCTCTGAATGCGATCAAGATGGAGCGCATGTTTGCTGCTCCGTTCCTAGCCCAAATGGGCAACGGACACGTTGACGGTGTTTATTCTATGGCAAAGGATCCCGGCTCGCTTGAACGCTTTGCAAGTGGCAGTGGTGATGGTGTGGTTAAGGTGTGGGATCTGACGACGCAGGGCGAGGTTTGGAATACCCAAGGCCATGAAAACATGGTCAAGGGTCTGTGCTGGACGCCGGAGCGAAAGCTTCTGTCATGCGCGAGTGACAAGACGATTAAATTATGGGATCCTTACAACTCATCATCTGAGGCCCCACCGATGGCAACCTATCTCGGAAATAGTGCCTTCACCAGTGTCACGCATCACCGAACCCTCCCTACTTTTGCTGCCGCTTCTGGTGTCATTTCTATCTATGACCTTTCCCGGCCTTCCTCCACACCATCGCAAACTCTGCACTGGCCGACTAGCGTTGATACCATCACATCTGTTGCGTTTAACCAGACTGAGACTTCTATCCTGGCTTCGACGGCCATGGATCGCTCAGTCATCATGTACGACCTGCGTACTTCCCAGCCGGTGCACAAGACGACATTGAGACTGGCATCTAACGCAATTTCTTGGAACCCAATGGAAGCGTTCAACTTTGCCGTGGCAAATGAGGACCACAACGCCTACATCTTCGATATGAGAAAGATGGACCGTGCTCTCAATGTCCTGAAGGACCATGTGGCTGCTGTTATGGATGTTGATTTCAGCCCCACGGGTGAAGAGCTGGTCACTGCCTCATACGATCGGACAATCCGCCTATGGAACAGATCAACTGGTCACTCGCGTGACATTTACCACACAAAGCGGATGCAACGTGTCTTCTCGGCAACATTCACGCCTGACAACAAATATGTCTTGACGGGATCGGACGATGGCAATGTTCGTCTCTGGCGTGCCAAGGCATCGGACCGCAGTGGAGTCAAGACTGCCCGTCAACGTTCCAAGCTGGAGTACGATCAAGCTCTGATAAAGCGGTACTCACACATGCCCCAAATCCGCCGCATCAAGCGCCAGCGTCATGTGCCCAAGCCTATCAAGAAGGCTGGTGAAATCAAGCGCGAGGAGCTCAATGCTATTAAGAGGCGTGAGGAGAATGTGCGCAAGCATACTAAGAAGACCAACCTGGCGCCGAGAACCCATGAGCGTGAGAAGATGATTCTGGCCAGCGAGCAATAAATCGATCCACTCGATTTATCAATTTTCATCGACCAGGCTCGGCCGCAAAACTTGCAATCGAAACTATGGTTGAATGGGGAATATGTTCAATGAAGCAGATCGTTCTGCTTTATAATACATCTTGGTTGGACTCATACAAGGGTCCTTTTTCATGATTCATGCCAATATACACCGCTCAGCTCCATTAGAGCCACCTATCAATCTGTCTTCCCAGATGCCTGCCGGCTTTGAGTCACAGCAGCATCTATTCCACTCAGATATCTCGCAATCCGCTGCACCGTAGCGGGTAGCACGGCATACCAATTCACGAGCTTTGCGTAAACAGGCAATCTGATCACACCACCTCGACCGCTATCAATCGCTGCCACCATCTCTCGGGCAACTTCGACCGGTTCCAGGACTGGTGCAAAGAAATGGTTCGGTGCGCGCACCCAGTCGAACAACGGCGTCGACATCTGCCCAAATTCCACTAGCAATGTCTTGATCAACGGGTTACCCCGAATTTCTGCTTCTATCGTCCGGTGCAGCGCGCTAAGTCCGGCTTTGCTTGCTGCGTAGTCTGACAGTCCCGCAGCACTCAGCTGGGCCAGCACGGAGCTAACTGTGACAAGGGTTCCTCCATTCTCTGCTGCGATGATCCCAGGCAAGAAGACTTGGTACAGATGGAAAGCCGCCAGGAGATTAGTGCGGATCGTCTTTTCGAATGCGTCCGCTGGCAGATCAAGTAGCGAGAGGCCATTGATCCTGGCCGCGGCACAGTTGATAACGATCGTCGGTGTTCCTAGCTGCAAAAACATTTAGCGAATCAGACCCCAATTGAAGCAAGCCATAGCGCGCTATAAAAACAACTTATCCAATGATTTAAATCACTAGAACCGTAGTAATATTAGGACGATATGGGCCCGAAGGTCACAGGACGAAACCAAAGGCGAAAAAGCAAAACCTACCTCTTGCAAAATCCTCTCCCTCGCGACCTCCAACCCGCTTCTCTCCGCGACATCACACGTAATATACAAAACGCCCTCCCCAAAGACCTCATCGCGGCTGTCTTCCGAAACAACCTTAATGTCCAGCACAGCGACACTCGCCCCGCGCATGCTATACATCTGCGCAATCAACAGGCCCAGCCCACTCGCCCCGCCGGTGACGAGCACGACCTCATGCTCGAAATCGACTGTGCGTGGGGCTCCGTAGGCAGCGCGCTGGTTGACAATCCGCGCGATGAAGATGATTGTGAGAGCCGTTGCATAGCTCACGGCGAGGATCCAGGCTGGGTCTGTTGATGGTGTTACCTGGGCGCGCAGGCAGAGGACAAAAATCCAGGCTATGAAAGGGTTGAGGAGGGATTTGGAGAGGATGCTTATTAGAGTGTCGATTGTCAGGAGGTTGGTTTGTGGATTGGTTAAGCCGGGGGTTGGGTGGGGTGGTTTGGCTGTTGTTTTTAGGAACTGGGGGTTTGAGGATGACATTGCAATGTCTGCTTTGGCAATGGTTCTGGCTCCTGGAGATATGCCAGAGATGTGCAGTGAGAACACCTCGGCAAATTCGAGGCACGTTTGGTTTTGCGGGGCTGATAAGATAAGACGATCTACAGGATCAGCTCGTGCTACTTGGGCACTTCGAAGGTTCCAAGGTCGGGCTTAGATGACCGTTGTTTTACAATATCCCAGCTATTTCACTGTCATTTAAGCCAGTTTTTGATGTCTGTCTGGTAGCAAGAAAAAGAAGAAAACACAAGTGTCTAAAAACTCAAGTATACGGAGTATTGACCTAGATATGTATGTATTCATTCAAGCTGAATTTGTCCATAACATTCACTGCCCTATAAACAAAACTGGAAACTTTCAACCCCTTCATGACCAACAAAGTTATTGGTACCTAAGGAGTATATCTTAAGACGCTCAGTACCCATCTTCCATAACAGCTCACAACAGGAATAGAAGTGGAACCCTAAAGAGACAAAGTGCCTTCAGAAAAATTTTCAGACAATAGAGAGCTATCTCCGTGAAAGTGTTCCAAAAATTGGCTCGAAAAGACGGTGTTCAGCTCCAAATAATCAATGCAGACACCCCAGGAAGGACAGTCTGTATCCGTAGGAGTGTCTATGGCTAGATGACCCAGCCCTGTTACCTCCACCGACATGCTTCGCTCCACAACCTACCCTGAGCTACCCACAGAGACATCTGAAGCTGAACAAGGGACCACGATGTGCAATGTGGGCCCGGAGTGTTGAGGAGAGAAGAAAGAAGAAGAGAGAGAAACTGGGAGGAGAGGGGTATTTATACCTTCCCAGTGGCTTAAGGCGACGGGGAACTGGGGTAGGTGATGATTTTTGACTCAAAAGGGAAGGCACCTGGTTGGGAAGGTACTACTAGAGTTATGATGCTCATGAGTACAAACATATCTGATTATCCCGAACCACGCAAAATTGGCGACATGATCTATTCATTCTGGCAGTGGCTATTTTTGCAATTATTTCTCGAGACCGGTTGAGGTTCTACTGGTTTTCTGGTTTATTGTTATCTGAGAGAGTAATAGCACCTATACTGCTGCCCCCAGACCAGTCAATCAAGGCCAGACAAAGTATGACAACCCCTATCAATGAAGAAACAAGAGATTGGAATAGAAAAAGCCCCAGAAAAAGATTGATCGATTGAGGTATCGTCAAGTATCTATATCATTTGAAGGTGAAAACATGAAGAAGCAAGAAACCACACAGAACCTGTAGAACTCCACGCCATAAGGACGAAATTGTTGTAGCTGAAGACATGAGGAAAGACATAAAACATTAAAAAAGTAAGTCAGATGCACGAAGCCCATTTGATCATATCAAGCATCCCTATTTTCCCCTATTCTTGAAGAAAAAAGACCAGCGTAAATCCACGAAACTCCCCCCATGATTGCGTTAGACAATGCATCCCCCCAATTTAAACAAGAACAAGATCGCAGATCAATCACCACTGCTTGCGCTGACCTAGCGGGGAATAAGGCTTCTTATTCCGAGCCTCCTTAGCTGAGCCTCGGATAGAATGACTGAAGGTAAGGCAATTCTTATCCTCAGCCATAATGTGGAGATCCCTTGGGGTCGACGGCACCTGAAAGCCCTGACCAGCTTCGGGGTAAGCGCGGTAATCTCCAGGGTCATAATCGGATTCATGCTGGGATTCAACGTGTGACGACTGAGACGCAGATGGAGTGGGTGATTGTAGTCGAGATTGGGAGTATGATGACTCGTCGTCGGTGAGCAAGTCAGAGTTCGAGGAAGCGAAAGAGGCCTTGCGAGCACGTGTAGCTGCAGGCGCAGCTTGAGATGTAAATCTACGCGCGGCCCTGGAAGGGGTCTGCGAAGTCGTTGTGGTAGAAGCCTGGGGAGCAGTTGTGGAAGCATGCGCGTGAGAAATTCCGGCGGAAATCTGGTCCATAGTAATGCCACCAAGAGCCGCTGCGGAAGCGGGGTTGGGAACAGCATCGGAGACCATTGTAGCAAAGACTTTATCGGCGTCCAAGGCAGTAGCTTCAGGAGCTGTGGTAACATAAGCCTTGCCGATCCGTTGGGTCGAATCCATAGCATTAGCGTTCTCAGACGGGGGTTCCAGATTTTCCCAATCAAGTAAGGTAGAACGATCGTTTTTCTTTGGCGTAAGGTTGGAAGGTCGATGGTTGTGTGGTGTCGCAGAGGGTGACAGAGTGAAATCAGTCCCGGGCTGCATGTCGGGGGGAAACATAGGAACCGACGGCCACTCGTTTGAGACTTTCACTACAAGCTGGACTAGCGAATCATGCGAAAGAGATGATAGATACGCCCGTCGTTCTTCTTCTGAATAATAATTTCCACCAATTTGAGATTCAGGCCCAGGCTGCTTCTTCGGGCGTCCGACTTTTTTCACTTTCGTTGCACCATTCTTTCGAGATTTGGTCTGGGCTGTCTGACGTTGCTCAGGTTTACACTTGATGCAAAACCAATTCATCTCCGGGATTTCGATAACCTCATTATCAATGTTCGGACTGTGACATTTCTGATGCCACGGAGCATCACATGAGTCACATAGAACAATCAAATTGTTCGAGGGGCTGTGTCCTCGGTAGCAGCCGGTGCAAACTATATTCACCTGGCGGTTCAGACGCTTCCGCTTTTTTGCTGCCGCTTTGACAGGTGGCCCTTTTGTTGTCACAGGCTCGACTTCTCGAACAGCTGGCTGAGTAACACGACGGCCAGATCGAGTTCGATTTGAAGCTAGGGCAGCGCTGGCATCTTGCAGACTCGTTTCCGTAGCCCCGGCTGTTGTCCAAACTGCCTCTTCCTGAGGCGGTGCCGGTGATCCCCAACTTCCCCAGGGCATACTGTCAGCCATTAGCTCCGGGTAATATGGTAGTGGTTGGATCGCCTCGGAGACGCCTTCATGGTCAAATATGTTGCCCTCATGGATGTTTTGGGGGCGCCCCGGGTTGATATCGGGGGCGGGGAGGTCCATGAATGCCGATGAGACCCTCATGGTGAGTTCCCTTGCGAATAAGTGTTTCAAAAAAAGCACTGGGCAAGATTCTCTTGGAAAACTAGTTGAGCCTTGGGGTGAAAGAAGAGAACAAAGCAAGAGGTGATAGCGAGGTAAAAATGCACTATTTGTGTTCTTCTAGGGCAGTGCGAGTCTTTCAGCCTGATGCAAATCACAATAGACAGTATTTCTGTTTGCTGAGCGGGCAGTCAAACATAGTTGGGTCTTCTCAATTATTCAACTGGAAGTAGGGTTGAAGTGAAGTCGTCGAATGAAAGACCTTTGTATATCAATCACGTGATATCCCAGTGCAACCTTAAATGGATTTCTTCAGTCGTTTACTGACGTATTTCGCCTAATTCGAGGGTCTTATTAATTTAAAATGTAATTTTACCTGTTATTAAAACTGTTTTGTTTGTTTCCTATGAGGGTCTGGTGCACAGTTGTCTGGTCCTCGATTAGATCGCCTCATCGTACTAGTTAACTACCTCGGCATTATACCTACATGTAGGTGATCCAACAATAACATTACTAGTCTATGAAACTACAATGCTCTAATCATCTAGCTCTAAAAGACTACGTGAATTGATTCCAAGCAAGCATTCCACGAACAGATATCATTCAGAGACCTATGGTTGGAACTATTCTAATTATATGCATGAACCCATTGGAAGTACATTTTGGATCTGCATACATATCTAATTTGCTCGAGATAATACTGGATTATATATAAGATAATTAATGTGAAAAGAAGAACGGTTGATTCTGTATGAAGTATGAACCACCATCTCTATATAGTATGCGAGCCAGCCCTTAAGACATAAATGTAGTAAACTTAGCAAAGAATAATACTACTTTTTGATATATTTTTGATATCCTTTTCTCTTCTAACTAGCAACAAGTAGAATATCCAAAGAAAAGCACGGTATTATGCCTGATGATATGCTCAAGGAAAGCCCAAGAGCTTGTAGGATGTAAGAAAAATGATCAAAAAGGACCAAAAGACACCAGAAGTACTGAGGGGCCACTTGGAATGGCTATGATTTCTAGTTTGCTTATATATAGACCTCGGGAGATGTGGTTCATGTTTATTATAAATAATTCTAGGTTTAGGACACGACTCCCTCATGCTTCAAGCGAGCGATATCCGCCTCCCCATAATCGAGTACACTACCCAAGATCTCATCCGTATGCTGGCCCAAAGTAGGAGGGGGCATGCGCACACCCGGTGTCGCTTCGGAGTACTTAATAGGCGTGTTGACCATCTTGATGGGACCACATGCAGGGTGGTCAACTTCCGTTACCATGCCTCGTGCCAAAACTGTTGGTATAGTCAGTACCGCTTTTATCACATGCAAAGAAAATAGGCCGACTTACCATGCTTGTGATTCAGGGTTCCCTGGATGTCGTTCACAGCCGCATAGGGCATACCGCTGCCCTCAAAGACATCCAACCACTCCTGCGTGGTCTTCTGCATAGTGGTGCTTTCAATCATACCGTCGATCTCTGCCCGGTGTTGCACTCGGTTACTGTTAGTGACGAATCGGGCGTCCGTCTTCCACTCAGAAAAGCCCAGTCGATCACACAACACGCCAAAAAGCCTATCATTGCCACCACCGAAGAGAATATCTCCGTCGCTGGTCTTGTAGCTCCGATAGGGTACAATGGATGCTGGGAGATGTTAGTTTGGTTATTATTATACTTGACACAAGAGACTGTTCGCTGCTTACGGTGTGCTGTGCCCCAACGGCCAGAATCCTTTTGCCCACTGATAAGCGCAGAGCTAGCCAGGTTCGATAGCGTAGCGACCTGGCAATCACTCAAACAGGCATCGATATGCTGGCCTCTACCAGTCCGACCCCGAGAAATCAAAGCCGCCATGATGGCATTTGATGTGTATAGTCCGGTAGTCAGATCGGTAACGGCAACACCTACCTTTACTGGCGCACCATCCCGAGCACCGGTGATGTGCATCAATCCCATCTCGGCTTCCACCATGACGTCGTAGCCTGCACGGTTGCTATATGGGCCTGTCTGGCCATACCCGGTGATACTGGCATAGATCAACTTGGGGTTGATCTCCCGCAGGGTTTCATAGTCCATGCCGTATTTTTTTAGTCCTCCGGGGAGATAGTTCTCCACTAGGACATCGCATTCCTTTGCAAGCTTGTGTAGAATCTCGACACCTGACTTGTGTTGGAAGGATAGACCGAGAGATTTCTTATTTCGGTTGACCTATATCCATGATTAGTACCACGGTAATTTCTTTCATAACTTAAAGAGAAGGTTCGTACAGCTAAGTAGTAGGCGCTCTCGCCAGGACCCTTCCTAGAAGCATCTTCGTACTTCGCATACGGCGGACCCCAAGCACGAGTATCGTCGCCGCGCACAGGGTGTTCGACCTTGATAACGTCCGCTCTATATTTCGTCTTGTTAATATCACAGAAATTACCCATTGCAGCTGTTTCATAGCTCCGAAGCTCAAAACATACCCTAAATCACCTAGAATTTGAGTACAATAAGGCTAGAGCAAGTCAGTTTGGATCACAAACACGCAGTAGCACCTCGAGGGATGTACTCACACCAGCCAAAACGCGTGTCATATCAAGCACCCGGATACCAGCCAAAGGCAGCGACCCATCGGCTGAAACTGCACTGGAGTAGCTCCGTCCTGGTACCGTGCGTTGCAAGGCATTGCTACCCCAGGACAAGCCCGATCGACGGGCAACAACCTGGAACCTGAGCGCGACCGTCATGATGATATATACGGAGAACGCAGCGAAACCACAAAATGACCCTCAAACAAAAGCCCAAGCAACAAGAATCCCCCGTTAAATGGGATCTGGGGAAACCGGCGAATCTCCGCCAAAACGCCGACGCCGACACCGCTCGGAGGGCTAATGCCGAGGCCACACCGCGGGGGCATTTTCCTTGTAGATCATCAACCGCAGCTATGTTCACAGGTCTTGTTGAGACGATTGGGAGTGAGTATATCTTTCTTGTATGAAGTGAAGTCAATAGCTAATGTGGATTTTACTAGCTGTCACGGCCTTGGAACCCATCGATACCTCGTCGAGCGGGGGCGGGGGAACGTCGCTCACCATCTCCGACTGTGAGGAGATCCTCACCGACGCGCACCTGGGGGATAGTATCGCAGTGAATGGTATTTTGCTCTTTATTTGTCTATAATGCATGGGATATTGTCTAAAAATGGGCTTAAGGAACATGTCTTACGGTCACTGCATTCGATAAGACCTGGTTCAAGGTTGGCTGTGCGCCGGAGACGCTGCGACGCACAAACCTGGGTTCCTTACAGGCGAATTCCCACGTGAACCTCGAGCGCGCCGTTTCGGCCGATACCCGGATGGGAGGACACTTTGTGCAAGGCCATGTCGATACCGTTGCGGAGATTCTGTCTGTCACGCCAGATGGAAACTCAATGGTGTTCCGGCTGCAGCCGCGCGATAGAGATATTCTGCGCTATGTCGTGGAAAAGGGCTACGTGACCCTTGATGGTGCTAGCTTGACTGTCACCAAGGTTGTCGATGGACAGGACGGATACTGGGAGGTTATGCTCATTGCCTACACGCAGGGGAAGGTGGTCACTGCGGCGAAAAAGCCCGGTGACCTTGTCAATGTCGAGATCGATATCGTGGGCAAATATGTTGAAAAGAGCGTGCAGGGATACTTTGCTGGTACCTCCGGTGGAGATTTCGCTATCTTGGAGAAGATGGTGCACAGGATCGTCGATGAAAAGCTCAAGAAATAGACCAGAGTTACGCATCACGAATCTTCGCCATTCAAAGTCATTGCAATATTCGGTGAAGGCAAGGCAAAATGTGTCATCCTTAGCTTTCTACACCCTAGAATGAATAAATCAGTACATATGTACATTTGGAAAAGGAATTTCCCCTTTAACAAGAAGACATACACCTAGAAATTCGACTAGCTCAAAGCAGAAAAAGGACCGAACTCGCAAATGGATATATGTGAGTCTCCGTCGAGCTATTAAAGATCCGTCTGTTGTCGTAGGGTCTGTGTCCCCATCATCGAGACTGGATATCACGTCCTTCCCACCCTCATATAGCGACTCTCTGATCAGACCAAAAGGGCTGTCCCAGTTATCCAAATGTAGCCCCCAGATGTGGTTATGATCTTGAAAGTGAAATTTCCAAGGTTGTCGAGGTGAAGTGCTACTTTGTCTTGTTGGCTTCCATCTATGCTAGAAGCTGCCAAGGCAGGCACGTCCAGCAGGTCCATGACTACGAGGTCATCTACGGCATTTCAAGTAAGACTAACATCTTTGGGGAAGTTTTTTGTGATACTAAGTTCATTGAAGGACGAAGGATGAAGGATGAATTTGCAAGACTGCATTATATGAAGACAAAACCTGAAAAACGCCTAGATGCCTATCGGGTATGTGACAGTGACAGAAATTTTGGTCCATATGACATGGATATAAGACGTGAAGACGGGGGTCATTTTTGATACAGTCCACCAGTGCGATAGACAAGTCGGCATGAGTTGAATTATCGAGTTTGTTCAATCGCAAGAGCCGGCTCATCCATCAAGCGATCAAGTAGAAGCTTTCGGAAAGGTGTGGTATGATGACTTCAAAAAGCCACTTACTCCTCCATAGACTCGTCCGAATCGGCTTCAGAGTCGTCATCTGCCGCTTCACCCCCACCCTCAGCGTCCTTGTCAAAGTCATCATCGCTGAGCCAATCTTCATCATCATCCATATCCTCATCCTCATCCTCCTCGGCCACTTCTTTGCCACTGCCCCTAGCCTTGGCCTTCTCCTGCTTCTTCCGCTCAATGTTCTCCTTCTGCAGCTTCTTTCTCTGCTCCTTCTCCTTCCTCCGAACGTCCCAGCTCTGGTCCATTTTCCGCATCTCCTTCTCTGATTTCTTAATGAAGTCATGCCACATGATCTTGCCATCGCAGACTCCATCCTCAACCTTCATCAAGCGAAGCCGCAAGCGGGGGCCCAGCTCTACGAGCTTTACAGCCCGCTTCTCAACACCGGTGGTATGGGCTGGCTTATCCTGGCCCTTCTCTGCAGCCTTTTGGCGCTGCATTTCCCGCTTGTTCAGGACTCGGCGGGTCGTGCTCTCTTGAACTTCCACTTCGGCATCGGTGTCTAGCTCGGTCTCACTTGCTGATGTGTAGCCTGCAGCAGAGGGGTCGAGCAGGTAATCGGCGGCATCTTCTAGCTTTCCAAGGTTGGGAACGGCGGTCTTCTTCTTGTCTCGGTTCCGAATCTCTTTGGGGTCCAGGCGACGGATTCGTTTCGATACACCGGTCTTCTTCGTGGCAATGGCGTAGTGACGGAGAGTCAGGATATATGAGTCGCTATCTTTTTCGGCAGGCTCTCGGTTGAGAAGCATGACACGGCGGATGGAAGATAGAGGCTGGCTTTGGGGGTTGATGGGAGGGAAGAGGGATTGGAAGATCGTAGTTGTGAGGGTCTCGAGCCGCTTCGGCACTTTGGAATCTTCGGTTGCACCTGGTGTAGTGAAGTTGTTCATGACCAAAAGGGGCGGTGTCTTGTGGTCCTGTCCGCCACTTTTTGGGCGCTTCATGGATCTTTCAACATCCTTGCACAGCGAATAGTTCTCGACTTTGAAGTGAAGGGTGGGTCCACGGGGAGTAACAGCGAGTCGCATATTTGTGTTGCCAGTTGCGGACTTGGAAAACAACATAAGATGAGTGACACCTAGGGGACCGGTCATAACGGTATAATCTCGCAGTCTGTTGGATTTGCGTTCCTATATTGTCTATTAGAGGGAACGAGCAGAATCGTGACTGTGAATCATACCTTCAATCGCACAGCGGTATCGGGCTCCATCATACGACGAACATCCTTAACCAACTGGGTCACACTGCTACCGACTTGAGAAGCGCCTACTCGGATGACCATAGACTTCGGGGTCTTGGACATCGAGGCAGCGCTGCCCTTCACAACAGAAGCATTTTGCGGCTTCTGGTGAGTGCGCTTCTTGACACGCTGCTTGGCCATTTCGATGTGAGAAATGAGAAAAATAAAATTGGAGGGGGAAAGCAATGAATACTAAATCGAACAGCTCGAGGTTTTTTTTTCCTCCAAAAATTAACATCAGAAACAGCGCCGGATCAACAATCTTGCGGCCCCACATTAAATTATTTCTTTTGAGATAGTTGAACATCGACAACCTTCTTTTTTGTTAAAACACAAATCAAACATGCCGATTACCAAGAAGCGCAAGGTCGCACACGCGGCACCTGCTGCACCTGTTGAAGACAGCGACGTTGCATCAAATGCAGGCTCCGCAAGCCCCCAACCCACCGCTGAGGACCCCGATGTTGAAGATGGCGCGAGCGATTCAAACCCCCAATCCGCCGCTGATGACCCCGTTGTCGAAGATGCTTCCTCCGAGACTGAGCCCAGTGCTCCCAGTGCTCCCAAGACATTCAAAGAACTAGGTCTGATTGACTCACTCTGCGAGGCCTGTGACAAAATGGGATACAAGGCCCCTACACCAATCCAGTCTGAATCAATCCCGCTGGCACTTCAGGGTCGTGATATTATCGGATTGGCTGAAACAGGATCTGGAAAAACTGCCGCCTTCGTTCTACCAATTCTTCAAGGTTTGTGCATATCTGACGACATAACTATACGATACTAACGAGTCTTCTAGCACTCATGGAAAAACCCCAGCCGTTCTTTGGGCTCGTAATGGCCCCAACCCGTGAACTGGCATACCAGATTTCACTAGCATGCGAGTCCCTTGGTGCAACAATTAACGTTAGATCCACTACGTTGGTCGGCGGCATGGACATGGTTCCTCAGTCCATCGCTTTGGGAAAGAAGCCGCACATCATCGTTGCCACGCCCGGCAGACTTCTCGACCACCTCGAGAATACAAAGGGATTTTCCCTCCGCAACTTGAAATTCCTCGTCATGGACGAAGCAGACAGACTCCTCGACATGGATTTCGGCCCCATTCTCGATAAGATCCTGAAGGTCCTGCCGCGCGAGCGCAGAACCTTCCTATTCTCCGCCACTCTTAGCTCAAAGGTTGAGTCTCTCCAGCGAGCCTCACTGTCAAATCCGGCCCGCGTCTCGATCTCTACCAGCAAGTACGCTACCGTGGAAACCCTCCAGCAAACTTATATCCTTCGTCCTTATAAACACAAGGACATCTACCTTGTCTACCTCCTCCACGAATTCATCGGCCAGTCTGTTATTATCTTCATGCGCACCGTTCATGAGACGCAGCGTGTTGCTTTCCTGTTGCGCGGTCTAGGCTTCGGCGCAATCCCTCTCCATGGGCAGATGTCTCAATCTGCACGTCTGGGAGCACTGGGAAAGTTCCGATCGAAAAGTCGCGAGATCCTGGTTGCCACCGATGTTGCTGCTCGTGGTTTGGATATCCCCTCTGTGGACTGCGTTTTGAACTTTGACTTGCCAACCGACAGTAAGACCTATATTCATCGAGTAGGCCGTACAGCACGTGCCGGAAAGTCTGGAACCGCCATCTCCTTTGTCACGCAATATGATGTGGAAATCTGGCAGCGTATAGAGGCTGCAATGGGCAAAGAGTTGGCCGAGTACCCCGCCCCTAAAGATGAGGCTATGGTCTTTGCCGAGCAAGTGAGTGCTTCGCAGCGTGACGCCATTCAGGCAATGAAGCACTACGACGAGAAGAAGGGGGCCAAAGGCAAAGGAAAGTTCTCATTCAAGGGCAAGCGAAGTCGCGATGCCATGGACCAGGAAGAGGGCTAGAATTCTTTTCTGGTTCATTTGCTGTTGCTTTTTTTTTGTACACGAATACCTAGATGGGTCTAGCTTACGAATTTGGGGCGTTAAGTATGTAATATGAAAGAACCCATAGATTTCATTACTGCGTCAAAATGATATCGAATATTTTCCTGGACCATATTTCCGGGGGTCCATAGAGTTGAAGAGGTATCCGTTACCTAAAGCCACAAAGGCCAGTGTAATAATTGCAATACAGCCTAGAGAAACAGTTGTCCCTTGGGGCATTCGTCGAGGCCGAGGACCCAATTTGGACTAGGGAATCCATTAGGCGCTACCCGCCTCGCTAACAGCATTGGCGACGCGAGTGGCGAGGTCGTCCGCCTCGGAGCGGCTGGCAGCCTCAGCGTACACACGGACGGCATCCTCAGTACCACTGGCACGGGCGAAGCTGCGGCCCTTGTTGTACCGAGACTGAAGAGACTCGATGGTTCCCTGCAGGCCAGGAGGAGACTCGAGCTTACGCTCGGCGTCGTATGCCTTGAAAATGGAACGGTCATTGACCTCGACACGCACAAGGCGCGAAGGAAGGTCGGTGTAGGTTCCAAGCCACTCCTTGGGCGACCAGCCCTTGTGGGCGAGGATGGCCTCCACAAGAAGTGCGTCAGACAAGGCATCACCGACAGCCTGGTTGATCAGGTCGGTCAGAGCCTGGAGGCTCTCCAGAGCATGCTGCTGCGCCGGCGATTGAGGCTCAGTGTTCTTGATGACCTTCAGGGCATTCTCGGAGAAGGTGACGGTACCGTGTCCGTTGGCCTCGAAGTAGACACCAACATCGAACCGCAGTGCGGCGTGGTGGAGGTGCTTCACGCCGGTGTTGGTGCAGATAATGGGGAGCTTGAGAACCTTCTCAACGTAATCTGTGCTTGCACCGTTGGCATAGGCGGTCTGGACAACACCAATCTTCAGCTTCGAAGCAATTCCAGCATTGCGGGCAAGATCGCCAATGAAAGACGCCGCAAGGGTGGCAATGCGGTCCCCATCCAGAAGACGGAACACGTTGCTCTCGTCCTGGAAGTAGTAAACAAGACGATCGGCGTCACCGTCAAGCGAAGCGCATCTATCAAGCACGGCAGCTTTGGAAGAAGGAGGAGCACGTTGCTTGGTCTTAACATAGTCGGCACCGCACTAGATGAAGTGTTAGGTTGATCGAAAGTTGTGTGTTAGGCAGGTGGAAGCATACATCAAAGTTCAGAGCGTCAGGGTTTATCACATCATCGTTGACAACCTTAATATCAATTCCAGTGAGGTACTTCATCAGTTCCCTCAATTTAGGTCCACCGACACCGTTGGCGCAGTCCACAGTCAAGGAACCCTGGACCTTGACTCCCCGCATAACCTTCTTGAAGGAGTTTGCAAGCTTCTCATAGTATCCTTGCTCAGTCGGCTCGCCATACTCGTATTGTGTTCCAAGGGTGTTCTTGCAGCGAACAACGTAGTGGAGCTGTGGGGTAGTCATGTATTTAAAGTCCACAAACTCGACCTCCGTCGCGGTAAGCGCGGCATTCAGAACGCCTACCAGACGGGAGCCAGAAGCGCGGGTGTCACGAGCGAAGACCACACGAGCGGGGTTGGTCATCTTCACGTCAATTTCCTTGACAAGTTCGTCATAAACATCGGCGATCTTATCCAATGGGGCATTTGCCAGTCTCGTCGCGTATGTCTCCCACTCGGCCTAGTTATGACAGTGAGTATGTTATTCCAAATTCGGCCGTTCAACGCTGGCCAATCTTACTTCAAGCATCTCGCCCTAAAGAAAATATAAGGTTAGACTTGTCCTAATGGGGCTGGTAATATGGCAGGGATCAATGGCTTAAACTCACCATGGGGTCAACCAACTTGACACCATTGTCCTCCGCGGGGTTGTGGCTAGCAGTAACCATAACACCAATCCATTGTCCGCTAAGCTTCTTCGACCGCAGGCTTGCAAGCAAGCCCACCGCAAAAACAACTGTGTTGAGGAGGTCGCTGCGCAGCCAGATTGGTCAGAACAAGTCGGCGTCAACAGAAGGATGATCGCGGGGTTCTCGAGATGTGGAGGCGGGGTGGATCAGCCATGTTTGAAGAAACTTACGCTTTCATGCGAAACTATAACGGAGAGAATAGGAAGTTAGCCGACCTAGTCTAGAGTAGAATGTTTATTCAGCAAATGCGACATACCCCTGCTGTGCCATACTCAAATACCTTGCCCTCGGGCTTTGTGTACTGCAACGCCGCCTCGGTGATCGCTTTCTTGACAGCCGGAGAGGCCATGGCGCAAATGTGTGATTAGTTATAAAGCACCGTAATAAATTTCAAGAGAAGAGGTGCTTGAAGCTTCAGGTACAGTCGAGGTCGAAGAGGAGGGGTGTACTTGAAACAAAAAAAAAAGCGGCTGAGGGGTTTGGGGTGAGACACGGTTTATTGCGACGGCCTTAGCGGTGAGCTAATAGCGGGGAACACGGACCAGGGCGCGGCAGGGGATGTGGCAATAACATATTTACCCGCATTAGCCGCCGTGGAAATTAACTGCAACGGTAAACACTCTAATGGGGAGCACCCCAATCTTCATTACTGCTACCTCCACGTCTAACCTTGGAAGCTACAGTCAAGCATGACATATCAACATGTCTATGCTATGCTGGGTATGTATATATATAAAAGATCGCCAAATTTTGATCCTCTTCACGCCTTTAGCCTATGCGCCGCAATATCATCCTGTGTGTCCCTGATCAGGAACCTGTCGGGAGTAACCGATGCATTAGTCATGGAAACATATTATGTCGTACGAAATGGGGGGAACTTACGAATACCACCAAACAGCGGGGACCACTGTACCCAGATGCCAGAGGCTGTGCGCGTCAATCAACCCATTCCAAGGAGGGAAATCGAGCAACTCCAAACTCATGGCCATGATTATCCACGCCACAATCATACCAGGCCAGGCAGTCCAAGACTTCAAATGTTTTTGGTATCGGAAGATACTAAAACCGGTCCACATGAGGTTCTGGATAATGCCAACCACTACGTTCGCCACCATATTGTAGGTGTAGTCCCAAGACCAGAAGGTAAGATAAGACACGTGCAATGTGTATAGCAGAACGCAGGTAGCAGTCCAAAGCCGACGTAGGGTTGGCCGGTATGGGGTATTTTCGAGGTCCAGGCGGAAGATTCGAACGACGGCAAGATAGAGACCGTACAGCACGTTGGCGCCAGCCGCCCAATAGTCCAGCTTCTCGGTCAATGGGAAATCGCGCATGTGGAATACCATACTGAAACTCCAGCTTGCAAGTCCAATGTATCCAAACATCATGTAGTATGGGCGGAGCGAGTGCCAGGTGGGGATCGATTGCTGGATACGGGACATGCCGTGCCAGTGGGCGCCGAAGTTGAAGAGGGAGAAGAGCACCGAGAAGGGCTCCTGCATCCCTAAGAGCCTACGAAACGGCCATTTCCCGTGGAATTGTACAATCGGGCTGATCATTGGGGGATCACGCGAAACTCGACGGTCGGTAATGACATGTTGACAAGTGTAGTCACATTCAGCAGGGCAGGTCCATAGTAGCAAGCGGTGGTGCAGAGCTAAAGAGGTCAGCACAGGGGAAACGCGGGGAACAGTTGGAATAAAGATTTCAACATACGTAGCACTGAATTGCCGTTCTGACAATTTTCCGTTTTACAGACCTACGTTTGTTAATTGTTTCCAAGGGTCTGTTGTTCGCGGGAGTCGTACCTGGACACATTCTTTGAAGTCGGGGAGGTGGTCTCCTAATGACGCGTTGGACCTGCCAATGAGGGAGGCTAGAAAAACGAAAGCGAAAAGAGTGTAGAGATTCGCTCTTCCTATACCCAGATTCATTGTGGGCCAGAAGATTAGTTCCGAGGGTCTTAGGCGTTCAACGCGTAAGCTTGGGGAAGAATGACAGGTTGAGCGGAGCTACCAGCGGCATCGAAGAGCCTCCCTCGATGGTCTTGGCAAGATCAAACCAGCTCTTTGTTTACCCCACAGCGCCATTAATCTACTTTGTACAACTTCAATTAAAGTGGAATTAACCTTGTTTAGCATTCTTGTCATATGGCGTTATTGTTTGGAGCACTTGATAGTTAACTTGAAAGGAACGGCCTGGTCAATGGCTCAATTGACCTGCTCTAAATATCAAATATCGTCATTTAGTACTTGCTATCCTCGGATAAGTGCTATTCTCCACATAGATACCAACCACATAGGATGCAGGTACGCATCATTATTCCTAAAACCCCCCAAATGTACAACTATACCACGCAGATAGCCCTATAGAAATGAGGGCAAGCACCATCACGTGCATATACACGTGATCTTCTAATACGGCTAGCGCGGGCGGGGATTGGAGTTAAGCTTGGCGGGCGGGCAAATAATCCAGAAAAAAAAAAGTTACGGATCGATCTCTGTTGGACTTTTATCTTTAACATCCTTCCTATTGATTTTTTTTCTCTCTTCTCTATTCTTACTTTTCGACCCGTTCTTCTTTTCCGCACAGTCAAGATGGACACCGAATCCGATAGCCCTCAGGGCATCACCAGCAGTGCTGATCGCATGGTTGGCATGGAGCACTCTGAAGTCCGTTACTTCACTAGGTACGTTATTCTTCATCGATTGGGACTTTTGGAAGTTGATGCTAATCAATTTATAGCTACGACCACCACGGTAAATTATCTTGATTAGTGATGGCGAATTTTTAGTGTGGTTTTGACTAACGATCTTTTTTTTTGGCTTGCCACAGGTATCCACGAGGAGATGCTTGTAAGTACAAATTTATACTGGTTAATTGGTTATCTATGGTCTCTAACATTCATTTCCTACCTTCTAGAAAGATGATGTGCGCACACGCTCTTACCGCGACTCCATCTACCAAAACCGCCACATCTTCAAGGACAAGGTCGTCCTCGATGTCGGCTGTGGAACTGGTATTCTGAGCATGTATGTATCCGGATAATAATCTCGTGTTCCTAGATCTCATTTTTAACTGTTTTGTTTAACAGGTTT